CTCCAGCTGGAGCACAGCTCAGGGTGGTCTGCAGCAGCAGAGGGCAGGGAGGCAAGTAGGGAGGAGAAGGAAAGGAAAGAAAATAAATAAAATATCCCCAAACAAAAGTAACTCAGCTTGACTTCAGAGGTGAGAACGATGCAGTTACATATTTATTATTGTTTATATGTGCTATGATACTTCCTAAATTCTGTAGTGACTGAGGTTTCCTCTGTGCCAAGCGGGGTATCAAAAACGATTCCTGCCCATGAGGAACCTCCATCCTGGGTTTAAGGCAGGGGAGCAGTGGAGGACCCAGGCAGGAGGATTGTGATGAGACAGTAATGCAGTATCAATCAGCAGAATAACCAGGAGTCCCAGTGAACCTCCTGCTGTAACCACTGCAATTCATCTAGTTTACTGCCATTATCATTGCAATTAGAGGTTCTTTTTTTGCAACATAAGGTTAATAATCTAATAACTGTATGGGTTACCCACTCCTCAGCTCATTTGTTGTACTGTTCAGCAGGTATAATTTGCTGCAATTTTGTATTGTAAAGAACTAATTAGCAGCAAGATTATTTTTCCACTGAACTTCACAGGAGTTTTGTCTTGGACAGCAGTGCTCCTGTACCTTTTTATTCTGTGCCACATTCTGGACTTGGTAAACTATCAGAGACACCACACTCACCCACATCTCATTAGGCAGAAGTCCTAATTCAGAACCATGTGGCATGAGTAAAAGGTATATTTTATTTTTCAATTTTCAATTTTAATTCAACATTTTTCAATTAATAGTGTTAACAAGCTTGTTAGAAGAATTTTTTCTTTGCTGTGTTTGTAAGTGTAATATCTAAGGTCAAAAATTAAAAATAAATCAAAAAGAAGCAAGAAACAGAGCTTGCAAGAGTAGTGAGTATGGAAACTACAAAATTACTGCTATAAATCCCCATCCTGCCACCTCTGAGGCCAACAAAACATCTTGCACCTGCTTTTATTACATACCATTAATTTATTGGATTTTCTTTCATCTTTTGCTTCAGATTTACACCAGAGTAACTGAGTCCAGAGCTCAGTCTCCATGGCCCAGCGTCACCTGCTTCTGCAAGGAATCTTTAAATACAGCACCTGTATAAGGAATGTATATATTTCATATATCACACCTGGGATTTATTGTTATTACACAAAAGTGGCAGCTCTGTGTTGAAAAAGACTAAGAGGCCAACCATGACTGTCTCACTGCTGATACTTCAAAGATTTTTGATCCAGGATGTAGAAGTTTTATTAAATAATACCTATACTTGACAAGTGATGTCTATATTGTCCTTCAGCCATATAGACATGGTTATTAAAAAAAGAAAAAAGAAGTGGTGCTTGATGAGTTGTTTTAAGAAGCTATTATATTACTGTAATATGACCACTGTGCTGGCAGGCTTTTGGCAGGTTTCAAATAAACATGCCAGAAATAATTTTGTTGACAGCATCTTGGGTTGGAGCACATCCAGCCTTCATCCATAACATGTCAACACAGTGATTCTTTCACAGGCATGAAAATATGTCACTATAGATCTTTATTTTAGAGTCTTAAAATACTGTAGATGTCTAGATTAATGGTTCCAAAATCAACTTCACAGGTGGCTAGTGACGTTTTTCAATTACAAATGAAGATGTAAGTGATAGCATTTGCAGTTCTTAATATGCAGCATCAATGAAGTGTGCTTATGTAAAAACCTGGAAACATCTGGTTTACTTTCCAAATCCAAAATCAATTTAGTTTTCGTGGAATATGAAGAAGGAGGTGAAAAACAAGCAGCAAAGGAGAAGGAGAAAAGCAGGCTGAAGGGCTTTAGCTTGATTGCAGAGGTCATGAGGATGTTGTGTTTGTGCTTCATGTGAGGCAGAGAGGAGGTGGTTCCTCCTGATGAGCAACTTCAATGTTTTCTTTCATGTTCTTTTCATCAGAGCAGAAACCATATGTGCTTGGTGTATTTCCCTTTGTGCCACATGCTCAGATTTCAGAATGAAACCCAAATTTGGTGTCTTTAGGATTAACACAAGGGGCATCTGCCTGCTGGTGGGTTTAGGTCTCCACGTCTGTCTCTGGGTCTCTCAGGAACAGGCAAATTCCAGCTTTGAGCTCTGTGCCAGAAACTCACCCCTTGAGCTGCCACTTCAAGGACATCATTTATGTGCTTGAATCTGTACCTGCCTAGGGCTGAGTTAAACACCTTCCTGGCTTCAGTCCCCAGCACAGAGGCTCCCCTGGGCAGTGTGAACAAGCAGCTGATGCTGGTGGGAAGCCCCAGTGCAGGGTGGGGATTTGCTGCCAAGGGCAGGGGGTAACACAGGCTGGTGGGGCTGTAATCCCCTGGAGGTAAAAGATGGCCACAGTGACAGAGCAGCATCCCTCTGGAATGCACAGAAATCCAGACAGGAATCTGAGGTGTCAGTGCTGCCATGAATATGGTGTGGTGTGTCTGCAGTTTTGCTGTAAGTTATTCCATCAGAAGAGGCTTCAAGTGACTGAGAACAAAAGAACAGCTTTCCAAACCTGTCCTGAATAAAGCTGTTTGTTTTTCTTTGAAAAGTCATTTATCTCTCCTTACCTTTTACCAAGGGAAATTTCCTGGCGGAATTTTGAAAAGTGAAAATGTTCTTTTCTAATTCCTTGCAGTGTATTAAACCCCAATATTTTGCTTATGAATAGTTTTCCTCCTCTTGATACACTAGACATTCACAGCCTTCTTTTTGTTGAGATTTTGCTGAAATATTGATTGAATACCTGGAGAATTAATGGGATTGACTTGATAATGGATTCAGTGGAAGTACAGCTGTCCTGAACACTCAAGTATGTGTGTGCATTTCTATCACACTGGGACTCATGGATGGGGAAATCACACTTAATGCAAGGTGTTATGAAGCTCTTGAACTACATCTGGTGTCGAGTGGTTTGTGGGGGTATTTCAGACTCCAACAATCTGGGTTTGTAGATATTATTCAAGTCCATGAGCTGATTTTTTCTTCAATTTTAGAACTTCTGACCATTTGTGGTGAGAGTGTAATGTTGTTTTCAGGACTATGACTGTTGCCATCAGTTCTGTAACACTGTCAGTGTTTTACCTCTGTCCCAAGACACTCAGGGCTTGGCTGGGTTTCTCATCTGCTTCTCCACAGTTCTCCTGTTTCTCTCTAGACCCCCCCTGTATGCTACGGTGAAAGAAAGAATATTCCTGCCACTTAATAAGAAGCCCTGCATTATTTCTCTGGCTTATTTATAAATTTCCCTCCCTTGGGAAGCCACAGAGTGTCTTTTGTGCCTTTTTGCATCACATGAAAATTTGAGAACAACAGTTTCCTAGAAGTGGTGTTGGAGGACTAAATTGATTAACATTTGTATTAATATTTAGGATAACTAATCTGTGGAAATGGAAGTATTTGTTCTCCTTTCTTGTTGCAAAAATGGCATTCCTCAAAACTCCTGACCTACTTTTCAAATTTTTCTCCAGTAACCATAGTAAACTATAAATTTGTTCCTTCTAATTATTTTTCATTTTAAGTAGAAAGCCAAGTACAAACAAGGGGTAGAGAAGGAGGGGAGGGTTTGCTCACCTCTACTCCTCTTTGCCAGAAGGAAGAGAAGCCTCATGTCTTTTCTTTAATTAGAATAAATGATGGAGTGCATCAGCTGTTTAATGCCTCAAACTTGGCTTTCCATTGCAGATTTATAGCTTTTGTAGTGGCTAGATCCCAAAACACGTAGAAAGTGAGCCTAGACATTATCTTTTTCTGTAAAATGAATTCTAGGGAAAGAATGAAAAATATTTCCTGGAATCTTCTGAAAACAAAACTGTGAGGTTTGCCTGACCTCCCTCTTCCAGTTTTGCTGCTGTGTATAAGAAACAGAAGTAAAGCAAACTCGGAATAACAGAAGAACCTAATCTACTAGAAAGCTTTTTGTTTTCATAAAAAATTTAAAATGAAAAAAAAATAGTCTTTTAAAGAAGTACCATCAGCTCTGTTTTAGACACACCATCCCTCATACTAAAGGAAATGAGGCAAAAAACCTAAATAGATGAGTTTCACAAGGAGGAGGAGCATCCAGAGTTGTTCTGGCTGTGAGACCAGATCCCTTGAGTGAATTCAGCCTCCCAGAAAAGTGCACTAATATTTCATACAGCTCCTGTGGGTGCTTCAATGCTTGCATGAAATCACATATAGTGCAAAATGCTAAGAGGAATCCAGCAAAACACATGAAAGTGCAATAAATTTTTAAGATCTTGGGAATGCCAGCACAGTGCTTCATAAAACCTCAGTCCTGAGAGCAGGGGTTCTATATACATCATAGGCAGAACATATGGTGCAACCTCAGTGCAGTCAGAGCTAATCAGTGAGTGGTGATGGAGCTTTATTCTGAAGTTTTAAGGATGTGATTAAATTTAATGTATATGCTAGACAAGAAACCTGTCTTCAGTTCCTCAGACCTACCAGCCTAGGAGTGCACACAGTATGCCCTGAGGAGATGTCATGTTTTCTGGGAAGGCAGGAAAGTTCACCAGGGGGATATCCTTATTGATTTTTATCTCTATGCATGCCCCTGTGAATTATTTATCTTCCTGTATGCTTCTCTGACATCTTATTATGAAAGTCTCTTGAAGGTTACTGTAAAGCTCCTCATTCCCAGACTTAATGAGGGTTGTTAGGAAATGGGTGTTGATGAGTGAGTTTGGATGAGTGCTGGGATGGGGGCTGGTGCCTGTGTGCCAGGAGGTGATGGGGAGTGTGGGTTCCACTGCTGAGCCACCTGTGGGTTCGCTGCATTTATTTGCTGTGTAATTATTTGGGATGAATTCAGTTAATGCCACCATGAGCTATAAGAGTGTGAACTGTTTTTGGCTCAAGGGTGTCACCCACCGTGGTCGCAGGCTGCAGTTCTGCGGACGTACATTGCTGTCTGGATTCTCTGCTCGTTTCCTTGTCTAAGTGCCCTTTGCTAAATGTTCATCTTCTTTTGATGTTTCTAGGAGCTGGTGGGGAGTAATCCTCCTCAAAGAAACTGGAAAGGAATTGCAATTGCCTTACTTGTTATTCTCGTTATCTGCTCGCTGATTGTCACCTCTGTCATACTCCTGACACCAGGTATTTATAACCTTTAACTCGCTTCCAGTCTGTTTTTCTTCTGTAATTTTAGACTTCCGAGAGTAAAGGGATTACAAACTAACTGCAAAGTTGAGATCAAAGGAATCCTCCTTCCTCACTTTATCTCAATGTGATGCTGAGTTCAAGGCCATTCTTAGGTAGATTGTTTTAAGGTTTTACATTTCAGTTCAGAGATCAGGGCTGCTGACCTGAGGGCACAAGTCTGGAACTCGATTGCCTAAACATGGATGGGGAATGTCATTTTAGATGTGCCGGGGTAGAAGAGGAACCCACATAGGGCAGTCAGTGAGGGCACAGAACTCCTGAAATTCGTGTCCACGTGGAGCAGTAGTTGCCAGTTGAGTGTCATATCCTGGACCATTGGAAATGGCATTGGATGCCTATGCCTTGGCTCCTAAATCCCATCCCATTCACTGGATTGATTTTTAGTTGAGATCACAGTGTTTTCAAATTGCAGATAATGATATACCAGACAGTAATCACCCACAGCAAATAATTAGTAACTTTCCAACAAGGAATTCTTCAAGTTAATCCCCTTACCAAGTTTCAGCAAAGTTCTGAGCACATAACCTCTGTAAATTACTTCTTTTACAGTAGCTGCTGATGTTGTAGGCTTGAATTTTAATGTGGTGTCATTATGATTATTGATTATTATGTATTTATACAGCCCTGTAAATTTCCAGGCCTACTTAGGGAGTAGAAATAAAACGCCTTTGCAGCACTGACAAGATTGTGAGCTGAATATGAAAAGACAAACAAAATGAGAGACAGACAAAGAAAAAATAATTCAGTGTCAGAAAGGGTGAGGAGCTACAAAACACAGGGGGAGGCAAAGGTCCCCTGCTTAGGGATGTAGAGGAGAAGAACAGGAACTCCTCCTTGGATGGGTACATGTGAGCTGTAGAATCCAGGGAGCAGCAGGACAGAGAGCACAGAGCTGAGGAGCAGAATGGAGGCAAGAGAGAAATCAAAGTGGAAGAGCCCAGGGTAGTGAAGCAGAAAAATGAGACAGAAATTATGGGGCAAAAATTTCCAGCTCATTACCTGCAAAATACATGCAGTCCAGCAGGTCTAGGCCATCTTCCCTGAAAAAATTCTTATCCCACAGTCCTGCTGTGTGAGGAACTGGAGGTAGTGACAAACGAAGAAATACAGGAGTGCATTGAGTTACTTTGAAAATGAGTGAAACAATCAGTACATTTTGTTTTAGTTATTTATTTTCATGCCATATTCAGTTTTTTAATGTTATCCTGAAGTTTTCAATGCAAATTTAAGTACCATGTGGTCATGCCAGAATAATGATGTAATGAAATTAAGGTTACACTTAATTAAAGGTCATTTATTAAATTAATTTTGCTGGTGTTCAGATTCAACATCTTTGGACAGTGGTGTTCAACTCTGAGATGTTTTGGGGCATGGTGTGTGGACCACACTCACATCAGGCACAACTTATTAGGGATGCAAATGTTGCTTGCAATTTTACAGAAGCACAGACTTTTCAAAGATGTACATGAAAGCCTGGATTGCTAAGTCCATACCTGTGAGTCTCAACGAGTTCTCTTGAAGCTAAGGCACTGCCTAGATGGGACCATGGGTGTCACTTCCGTCAAAATCCAAAAACATTAAATCCACTGGCTTGCCTTGATGGACAGTGTGGGTTACCCTGTCATGGTATGAAATCAGGTTTGATAAGCAGGACTCTGAGGCTTTGCTGGCTGTGACCAATGGCTGAATTCTCCTTTAGGTGTTTTTCAATATCTCCCAGAATAATCTTCTCCATGATTTTACCAGGCACAGGGATGTCACTAACAGGCCTGTTGTTTCCAGGGTCCTCCTTCTTCTCCTTCTTGAAATACTCACATTCAGTTACAAATAAAATTCAAAAGTGTATTTGTTTATATAGATATATATATATTTTATATGCATGCACAAAGACATCCTCCTTTTGGGGTGTGTGTGCACACACATGCACACATATAAATCACACAGTTTTTATTATATACCCAGCACCTCCAGATAACAGTGCTGAGAGGGTCTCCGTGATTAAAATTTAGGAATATGCAAAGTCATATTCTGTCATTTTCTGTGCTGAAATTTCCATTCCTTTTTTTTGATATTTCTAATTACCTGATCTGCTGGTAAGCTGGGTTTGGGTTGCTTTTTTCCCCTGTTGATGTTTCAGAATTGTGTTCTACATGTACAGACAAAACTCTGAGCTCAGTACTGCTCCTGTTTTTATTATGGATCCAAAGTGCTTCATGGTGAGACTATGCCAAGGGTAAATTACAGAGTTTAGGTTGCTGCTGTGGCTTGGCCGCAGCTGAGTTCAGTCTTCTTCTAAGCCACTGGAACTTGTTATGAGGTTGGGCTGTGACAGAAGGGATCAGGAGGCTCATTTCATGGGCTAAGTGGGACTCTGAGACTGGTTTGACAAATGTGAAAATATCACATTGCTAATCCCAACTGGGCATAGCATGTCCCAGCAATGTAGGAGTGGGGAGGGTAGAAGATCCTGTCCAAAAGGAGAGGCAGAGTCTGCATTTCTCTGCCATAAAATAGTTCTCTGGAAGAAGAAATGTTTATCTTTTGGTAGTCAAACTGAAAATTAAGTGATGGATATGTGAACAAGAGGTGAAGAAGGGGCAGGAGTGCAGCGAAGGAAGGAGGTGGAGCAGTTCTGTGGATGTTCAGGGGGAACTGCCAGGTATGAGTGACATCAGGAAATAAACAAAACAACCAAACAAAATCTCCTCTTCACTGCAAAAGCCTGCAAGGGGGTGATGCAGTCTGGCATGGGTTGTAGTACCTGAGGATATTCAAATGTTTTTAATTCTTCCTTCTAATGATATTGTTGGAGTCCAGCCTGATTCTGTCACACCAGTACAAATAACCTTTTGCATTTTACCTCTGAATCCTTACTTTTTCCTCTCTCAGTCCTCTTTCTGTCTGGGAATCCATTTTTCTCTCAGTATTTTGGTGCTGGATGTAGGCCTGTTTTGCAGTGCAGTACCAAGGCATGAAAGGCAAAGATGCTTTCAAACCAGTGCTGAATATCATTCACTGCCTGATTCCAGACAGATTTTGGACATATATGGGGTAGAGTGCAGCATCCAGGCATATAGTCCATGCTCAGACATGAAAAGTGATTACCTGGACCCATAACCTGGTCTAATACTGGAGAGCCTGGGTCATCTCTCAGGAAGTCTCCTGAAATGTCAAGAGCAACAGGTAAAGTGGGAAGTGGGGAAGATTTGCTTAGCAGGGCAGATTATGATTAAGGTATTTAATAATTGGGGAAAAGGAGGATTTGTATGTCTCTTCCAGATTATTTTTCAAATCAGCCAAAATCTTTAAAGGTTTTAACTCTGGATTCAGAAGGGCTGAAATCCCTACTGGTTTGGGTTTCTCAGGGTCAGGTCACTCACCCTGCTCCAAGAGCAGCACAAAAACTGGGAGCAGTGGACGTGGCATTCAGCAGACACTGTAATTAAAGTGGCAGTGAGCTATTACTAGCTAATGTTTATGTCTTATTTTATAGAATCCTAAAAACATCTCAACATTTCTATGATTTGTATATTCTTTGATGACCAATATTCTCAAAAGAAGCAGTAATTAGTGGAAGTTTACATTTAATTACACTATGGGGCACAACACCTACACCATTGCCTGTGCTGAGCTTCTCCAGTTTCATGGTGTGTGAATCCTGCCATTTCAGTCACCTTTGAAAAACATCAAATTAATTATACAAATTATAACAGTGTTGGCCTGAGCCTTTGTTAACTGGCAGCTCCTCATTTGTCACAGCATGTGGCACCTGTGCAGGTCCCATTCCATTGTTTGGGTATTTATATCTATATAAATATATATCATAGACATATTGTTTTATATTTTATTAATTTATATATCTATATATAAATATATTTCTATATTTTATTTATTATTTCATATTTATTTATTAATTATTTCATAATTATCTATTTATATAAATATCTATATTTATCTATTTTATTTATATTTTAATATATATTTTTCTATTTTATATATATGTATATATATATATATATTTATAAGCTGAAACGAGGATTCAGTCCTACAGAAATTTTGAATAAAATAAGGCCTTCCCAAATTCCATTAGACATTGTGCTTAGGAAGAGGCTGATTTTTCATACATCTGTTCCTGATATTTAAAGCTTTCTGGAGATATACATCACATTTGCTCCTTTCAAATCTGACCTTTTAGCTGAAAAAAAAAGGAAGGACACCCTAATCCATATTAAAATTTTTGCAAAATCCATAAGAAACATTTCTCAGAAGTGGTGCTGAGCTAGTCATTTTGGTAGTCATAAGTTGCATCAAATGCATGACTATTACCAGTGCATAGCATTAATTCCCAGCGTGCTGCTGACAGTCAGAGGCATTGCCTAGAAAGCTTTGTAGCTCTTGTGATACTCAGGGCAAGGCACTATCCTTTGACCAGCTGTGCAGGAGAGCAATTTGTTAGCCATAGTTACATATAAATGTATATTTTACCCCGTTACAAACAGGTGGGATATTACAAGAGGGAGAAAGGCTGCCTGCCTTGTCTGGCCACTGCCTTTTGGGTACAGAGAGGTCATCTGGGGGAAAAGAGGGGTTAGGTCTGCCCAGGGATCAAGTAGGTATGCTGAGGTGGGAGAGGAGCTCCTGGTGTGCTGCCACAGAGAGATGGGGACTGTCCCTCACATGCAGTGCACAACAGGCCAGGAGGAGTGTGAAGAAAGCTTCTGACACCAGCTGAGCACCAGCCGTGATGGAAAGCAAGGGGGGCACCCAAAGGTGCCCTTCTGACCTATCAAGCAGCCTCTGAGCATGGCTGGAGTTGAGAAAAAGCTTGAAAGAGAAGCAAAACAGACAGCGAGGCCAGCTCCTTGCTCCTCTTTGAGTTTTCTGGATTTGTGGAGGATCTTTGTTGGTTTTGTGTTCTGGAGAGCCACATGAACAGCTCAGCCCAGGATTGTTTGGGTGCACTGACTGCAAGGAGGAAGAGCAGGCAGATGAACCCAAACACAGGGCTCCTGTCACGCCTCTAAAATTGAATCAGAACCAATATGGACACGATTTCTGCCTCAGCACAGAGCTGTGATGTTTGGATGCTGGGTTTGTGACTTGGCACTCAGATCTCAAGTCCCCGTGCCCTGTGCATGGCTGCCACTCTGCCATCTGGATCTGCTGGCCAGGGGGATGTGAATGCAAAACGAAAAAGGTGGCGCATGCTTAGTCCTGTCCTTCCATGAGCCCAAAGTGGCCTCCAGGTCCCTGCAGCTGGGTGTAGACAGCACAACCTGTCCACTGCTGCTTTAGACACCCTGAGGCACACTTAGAATCTGCTGCTCAGGACAGAGTGGCTTGCCTGAGATCCCACATTTCTTCCTCCATAAATGTCTCCATTAGGGCCAGAGGAATGGAGCAGATGTTCTTAAAAAGCCCTCTGACCTACCTGCCCGTTAGAGGAGAGGTCAGTAAATATTATTTTTTTTTGTATTACTAAAATTCACAGATAGGTTTATTATTTAGTTTCTGTGTTTTTCCCCCAGCTCTGTGGCTGAGGTGAATGTAGTCCATGGCCCAGCCGAGGACTTGTTGCAGCTCTTACAGCCCAAGGCAGAGGGCAGGAAGGGAATCTCACCTCATCCCTCAAAGAGGTTCTTAAGTGTGCAAGGTCCAGGTGCTGCCTCTGTCTCTTCCTGCTGTTCCTCAGCAGGAGCTGCAGTGCTGTGCAGGACCAGAGATGGTGCAGCTCCCAAACTGCATGTCCCCATCCTGCACAAAAAGGAGGAATAGGAAGGGCTTCCCACCTTGCTTCTTCCTAAGTCTCCAGCACAGAGGTTTGCTTGTGCCTGTCCCTGTGCCCTCATGGGGAGAAGAGGGTGCCTGTGTTCTTCCAGAGGGCATTTGGGAAGCATCTCCTGGAACAGGAACAAGCCCTAGGGCTGTGTGGGGGCTCCTGCCCCACCTGACCTCCCTGGGTATCCAGTTCTGGGGACTTGCACCACGGTGAAATTAATTGTAATGATATCCTGGGGTCCTTGTCACCTATATTTTCTATTTTAATAAATAAAATTATGCAGAATAACTTGGCATAGCGCTGTCACACAGAGGGATTTGGCTGAGGACTTGTATTAATGGGTTCTGGTATTTGGAATCCACAGTGAACAGTGTGGTTGAAGTCTCAGCCAGACTAGGGAAAAATATGAACGTTGAAGAATATAATTTAATTTGGTAAAAGTGAAAGTTTGTTCTGAAACACCTTTTAGTGGAACAAAACACTGTTGATAGGTATTTTTCTGTCATCCCAGGTAGCTCAGGGCCTTGAATTTAGTACAGCAAAGAAGACTTTTCCACAAATTAGTACCTTCAGGGTCTGATTCCACTTTTCTAATCATAAATGTGCAGTGTAAGTTTAGCACTAAACAATATTAGAGATATCTGAGGCTGCCAATAAACCTCAGGCATGAGGATTCTCTCATGAGGAAAGATGCTGAAATACACATTGCTGCTGTGGAAATACTCAGAATGTGGCCTCCTCTTTTCTTTAAAAGAGCAACTGTACTTAAAGCTGACTGAAGGGTTTCCATGAAAATATTATTTCGTCAAAAAATTGAATGTTGTTAACAAATTTTTCATAGAGGGCGACTGCTTGTCAAAACAAAAAAAAAAAATTACAGTTGATGGGAGGAAAGGAAAGAGGGAACATATTAATCAAAATTTTTTGGGTATTCAAAGTTGTTGGTTTTTCTCTAAAATTTTCAGCTTTGATATTGCCATGTTTACAAATGAAACTATACATCCTTTCACTAAAAATTAAAAATAGTTTGTGCCAGCTATGAACACCTAAGGATTAAGAGTTATGTCTCATAGACTTTTCAAAAATATTTCTGCAACCAAATGTCTGATTGCCATGGAATATCTTTTGTGAATTTCGGAAGTAATCTGTATGAGCCCTTATAAGGTCAAACACCTTTCCAGCTATGGTTTTATGTTAAAATTTATAAGGAAATAAAAATATAAACTGTAAAAAATTGGCCACTTCAAATAGTTTTTAAAAGTATTTAAAAATATTTAATTTATATAGTACTTATTAAAGTATTTAAATTATTTAAAGTATTAAATACTCTAAATAAAATTTAAAATAAATAAATAAAATAAAATAAAAAATCAATTTAAAATAAAGTACTTACTAAAGTAGTGTGTGGTTTGGACCATTTCTTGGTCTGTTTGTAGTTGTTAAGACCAGACATGTATAGCAAGGAGGGTTTTGTTAGTGAACCATTAGATGGTCCTTTTATAACACTGACATTGGGAAGGGATTTCTGTGTGACACAAAGCTTAATGTGGGCTGTTTCCAAATGAGATATGACATATCACTACTCACAGTTTCCCTGCTTTCAGATACATCTCAAAGTTGAATTAATGTTAGTTTATTTTTGAATGTTTTACAGTTGAAGATAACAGCTTGTCTCAGAAGAAGAAGATAACAGTGGAAGATCTCTTCAGTGATGATTTTAAGATTCATGACCCAGAGGCTAAATGGATAACTGGTGAGCTCTGAGCACTTTGTAGTATCTTTGCTTTGCTTCCTTGCTCCCTGGCCATTGCCTTTTTTATGTCATTTTTAATTCCTCCAGTTCCTTATGTTGCTCCTGAAATTGCAGGATCAAGGACTGTTTGGGGTTGGAAGGGACCTCTGGGGATCACCTTGTCCACCTCCTAGCTCCAGCACTGAGAGCTGTTTGCCCAGAATCACGCCCTCAAATTCCTATTTTCAACCTTCAAATTCCTGTTCCAGTTTTCCTCCTGTTAAACACGCAAACACCACTGTTCTAACTTTTTATCTAGGGCTGCCCAGTGGGCTCATAGATAGGCATGGAAAACTACAGCCTTTTTCTCCAAGAGCATCCAAGACATAGTGAGTGATCTAACACATGGTTGGAAGATGTGGATGGAGCAACAGCAGTGATTCTTTTACCACAAACAAAACATCAAATCTGTTTTTCTCCTAGCAGAGAGGTGAAGCAATGCTAAACAACAGGCAAACAGTGGTCCAGCAGCATCTGGGCTGGGGCTTGCACACAAGCCATGTGCTCTTTTCATCCTCTGCTGCCTTACATTTTCCAGCAAGGGGAAAGCCAAGTAATACTTGAATTAACGCATGTTGGGTTTGCTGGAGTGGAGGTACTTTGGGGGATGTAGATTCCAGCTCTCACTGGAAATTGCCACAGTCAGAACAAGCTTTGGTGAGAATACAATGATTTGTGGTGTGCTGTTCAATTGAGTTCCAGTCCAACTCCTATTATCATGGAAGTTATTAGCTTTTCTTTTGAATTAAATGGGGAGCTGGATCAAGTCCTTCCTCGTGTTTAGCCTTCCTTGTCTGCTGTGCCCATTGGGAACAATTTTAATACCTGTAATGAAAAGAGAGAGTGTTAAAGGGTAGTGCTGAATTAACACATTCCCCAGCTGCAAGTGCTGCCACCCACTCAAATAGAGGGGAAAGCTGTTGCAGACAATAAACACCTTCACAAACACACCTGCCAGAGTGCAGGAGCTGTTTCCAGGTTCTGCTCTCCATGGGAATGGTGCTTCCTACAACCACTTTCTGGGAATGATGATGATGGGAATAGCTGCGTTGCAGTTCCCGATTTTTTTTCTAGCATCCTTTTCCTTTAAACACAGATATCCTGATGGCTTTATTGAAGAAAAATGTGTTTTATTGAGACTTTGACTGCTATTTTCTTTATTTGCTGGAGTATATCAAATAGAGCATAGTGGAGGGAATTCCAAACAATTAACTAAACTTTTCCAGGAATAGAGAATGAATTATTGCCACAGACCTGGTATAATATCCCCTCACTGATGAGTATCACTCTATGTGGACATAAGGCTTGTTCTCCACAACTGCAGTCTGCTGTGAAAAAATAGCATTTCCTTTGCTCTTTCAATTATGGTCAAATACTAAAGTCATATAAACTTTTATTAGGATTCTGATCTTGAGTATTTTAAAATCCATCTCTGTCCTCTCATGTACCCTTAATGACTCCAGTGCTGTCTTGCCTCTGAAATTACTACAATATTGTTTCTGTAAGGGACAAAACACAAAGACATCTTGTGAAAACATACACAGAAATTTTAGAAGTAGTTCCTCACTTGTTTTGATATTGACAAACACTGACACTGATTTTAATACATCTAAATAGATAAATGTATTAAAAGAGATACCCTGCAGATTTTCCCAAGGGTGACTTAGCATTTAAGGGCAAGATGCTGATCTACAATGTCATTCATCCATGGACCCAGAGCCATTTTACAACATTAATTGCTTCTCTGTATTATAGTTGGATTTTTCACAGTTTTCAAAGCTGGCTAAGCGGTGAAATTGTGAATAAGATGAAAGACCAGTAGCCAGATTCCTAAGCACATGTTGTTATTGGTCTCTTATTTTTCAGTATGCAAATGAAAGACTCCAAAAATGCCAAAGCCAAACTAATTAACTTAGTATAACAAGATTGCTGGAATGCCTTAGCAAAAGAAAAAATGGCATATTTGGGAATAGCATATTACAATTGGATGACAACTTACAAGCCTAGCTGATGCATTGTGAGGATCCACACAGTTGTTAAAATAGAAGTATATAAATATAAAATAAATGGGAAACTGTTGTGTGCCCTTTCCCTTCTTCTCCTGTGAATCATCACAGAAATCACATCATCACAGAAAATATCACAGTCATTCAGAGCTCTGCAAAATTCAGTCCTCCTGTCTCATCAGAGCTCTATTTCCTTCCTTTCCCTCTACATTATTTCAGAAGACAAGAGGCTAGTGGCCAGAGATGAAGCATGCTGCATGTTTAGGAGTATTTTAATCATCTGAGGGATTTGCAGCCAAAATAATTCAGTCAGTAAAATATCTGTGTTCTTCCCAGTAAGCAAGGGAATGATTCAAACACTGAATGAGGAAGGTTTTTTTCTTTATCTAGAGTGAGTCTTAGAGCAAGTGTTTTAATAAAGAAAATATTTATATTCAAGGTCACACTTAAAAGTGTGCTGAAAATTCCACAAAATTGATGCAATGAGCTCATACTTAAGTATTTTCTTGATTCTCAGTGGGCATGTGGAAAAACAACATATTCCTCACTCAATAGCTTTGTGTCATTCTATTGATTTTAAAGGACCTAGCAAAAAAGAAAAGAAGCAGTCTCAAAGCTGACATAAATACACTTCCAGTGTAAAGATTACAGGCTTTGTCTCAGCTTTCAATCACAACTTGTGACTCATTTGTGGATATATTTACATTTTTTTTAAATTGGAATTGCAATTAAATTTACTTGCACAAAGTGAGAGGTGTGGCAAAGTTGTAAATTTGAACATTTTACAATTTTTGTGATGCTGCTGTAAATTCAAATTTCAGTTTGCATTTTTATCCACTGTTTTAGGGAGAGGAAAGAATACTTTGTTTAATTAGCATCTGCCTTCTCCTGCCCTGACCACTGTTGTCTTTGGCTCTGTTAAGAGTGATCCAGAGAGGAGCACAAAGTGACAGGCCAAGGGGGAATGGCTTCAAACTGACTGACAGCAGGTTTAGACTGGCTATTAGGAATAAATTCTTTACTGTCAGGGTGGTGAGGCACTGGAACAGGCTGCCTAGAGAAGCTGTGGATGCCTCTGGATCCCTGGAAGTGTTCAAGGCCAGGCTGGATGGGGCTCTGAGCAACCTGGGACAGTGGAAGCTGTCCCTGCCCATGGCAGGGATTGGAACTGGCTGATCTTCAGATGTCTTCTAACTCAGGCCATTCTGTGAGTTGGTGATTCTTTGACTAGAATGGATTGCTCCGGAGCTTATTTCTGTATCCACTGCTATTTGTTAGGTTTTCCTGTAGTGTGAGTAAATGCTGACTTTATTGTGAAGGTTTGATTTTTCCCGGCAGCATGGCATGTATGTTATACTATAGTAGGTGTAAAGCAGTGAAGTACAGGAAGTTTGGGGTTCTGCTGGTGATTAATTGGCACCCTCCTATCCAGCAATCCAAGTGGAAATAATCTGTGTCTCTGTTCCAGCCCCATTCATCCCACACCTCCTGTAATCTTCTCCTCATCGCTCCATGCCTCTCACTCTGTGCTGAACTTCCCTTTCCTGTACAACTACAATTATATTGCCGATATATTTAAGAAGCATATGAACTCCAATCAGTGGCTCTTTTCATACTGTGTATGTTAAATATAGTATTTGAACATTTCCTTGTTTTCATATCCTCCTCCATAGCCTGCCAGGAGTGTCCTGTGCCGGCCTTTCGTCAGCCCTCTCCCAGCTGACAGGTGGCTACTTGTTAGTCTAGACCCTAATTGTTTAGCAGTTCTGCTCATGAGCACCACATTACCTTGTAATTAGGCTTCCCAATTACTGGCTTTTCCTGTAATTTCTCTCACACAGCAGTTTAGCTCAGGTTTCTAAAAAGCTCAAAGCTCATTGCTCAAAAAGTGCAACGTTCTTGTAATGTTCAACAGAAAACAGGATAAAGAAATGTGTTGTCATTTTGTGCTGAAGAGCAGCTCAGTCATCTGATTTCCTCTATAAACAACAATTCATAGCTGTTGTTTAGACCTGGCCTGAGAAGCCAGTTGAGTCATGCATTCTGGTTTTGTGTCCCTTTCGAGCTGCAGTGATTCCTGCCAGCTGTGACCCCCAGCATCCTGGGAGCGCTCCTTCCTCGTGGGGAGAGAGCATCATGTGAAAGGAAGCAGTGAAGACTGAGCTGCTTATGCCCCTTGTGGGGATTTAGGCTAATCTTCTTTGTACTTAAATGGCAAATAGTTTTTCCCACTTTGGAAGTACTTGGATGCTGTTTTAGACAGAAAACATCAGAGCAGCCTCCAGTATCCTGACAGAGGTTATTGAATGAGTTGGGTGCAGCGTATCAGTCATTACTTTTTAGAGGATGTTTTTCCAGCCTTGCTGTAGGCATCCTGCAAGACAGTTTATTTAGCAGTGGCTCTTGTCAGGATTTTAGGCTGTAGGTAAGTGACTGGAGGTTTTAATTAGGAGAGCATTTTCCTTGGGCTAGGCACTGGACACACCTGGGGAGGCAATCCTTGCCGAGGGGTTGTAGCCAAATGGGAAGAATCAAGGTTGAAACGAAGAGCACAATATATTGAGGTGAGGAGCACTGAGGTACAGGACAGCAAAGGACATGCTTAGAGTCACAGGAACCTAAAAATTGTGAAAATCAAACCCTTCTCTCTAAGGTCCCTGCCCACTCACTTCACCTGCAATATTGGAAAAATAATATTTATTTTTATGAGAAGAGGAATAATGAGTAAATTAGCAGGAGGCTTCATATGACATTTTCAGAAATGTCTCAGTTATTTGGAAACCTGCCACTCAGTGACAGCCAGGACCATGGTGTGCCCAGCTCGCCTCTAAGAATGGCAGCTGGGCTTTTATCTCAAAAGTCCCTTTGAAAAATACACTAATAACTAATATCTAAATATAATGAAGTAATTCTTTTATCTTTAATACCAAAGCACATATGTTTTGTTGCATGTTT